AATATAAAATAAAAATATGATTTAAAAAAATATATTCCACCTCCACCATCTTTGTCTAACAGGAAAAACTCTTGAGATGTCTACTGCAGATTTAACACACTTCTAATTACGAGGCCTTGGCCAACAGCACAAACAATCACATCCTGTGCCCTCAATGACACGCTCAGGATTATCAAGCACTCTGGTTCTCAGAACCAGGCACAATGGATTGAGACTGGAGCGACAGGGAAAGACGACTTGAGCCATGTTTGACTGAACTTCACTGCCACCACCTTGTCTGTGAAGTGTGAAGCAGCAATGTTGTTTCGAATTGTAAGAGGTTTGTTGCATCTGGACTCCTAGAAGCAAGCAGCAGATATTTTGGGAGCTTGCAGGGATCATTTCACCATGGTCCAAAATTGTTCTCAGCCAATCTACAGAAGCTCTGAATGTCCCTGAAGCGTATATTAAGTCAGGATTCTATAGCTTTTTTTCCACTGGTACAACTTGAGACTTCAGACAGAACAGTTGTAGCGTTAAGGCATATCACATGTTTATTTGGACCCCTGTTCCTCACGGTTAGTTAAACCTGACAGAGGTCAGCTACCCTCATGGATGCTGAATATCATCAACACATCCTTGAGAGAAAGTTAGCTCCTCTACCACTCAAAGAGGCAACTGTTAGGTTTTAGAGGAGGAAGAAAGTTAATGCTGCGTGCAGCAGACTTGAATAGCTATAAGCCAGTATCACATCTGCCCTTTTTAAGCAAGGTCTTGGCAGCCATGTAGCTCCAGTCGCTTCTGGAGGAAACCTATTCTGTTGATCGCTTTCAGCCTGGCTTTCACCCAGGTAATGACACAAAGAAACTGCTTTGGTCATCCTGATGGATGATCCACACAGGTCCTCCCAGGGGTAGTGTGTCTCTGCTGGTTCACCGAGCCCTCTCGTGAGCTTCTGATACCATCAGTACCTGCTGAAATGCCAGGCAGAGATAGGCACGACTAGTGCTGTGCTAGGCTGGTTTCAGTCCTTCCAGAAGGCAGGTTTCAGAAAGGGGTGCCAGTGGCCTAAGGGGCACCACAAACTGCTGTTAGACCTCCCATACTTTTCAACATCTACATCAGTGGTACTCACTCTGCAGCTTGCAGTCAGCCACATGTGCAATTCCCATCAACCAAAAGAGCTACACGAGGCTTGGACCTAAGAGAGGGTCGCAGCTCACCTGTTGCTCTGGGGATGGCTGTTCCAAGGTGGAAACCACGTACCAAACACAAGCCCCACTGGTCAAGGACCTTGCCCACTTTCTTGAAACACGGGGCAGGGGCCACATTGGGGAACAGTCCTCCACGGGGCAGGCCCACATGCGGCTCCTAAGCCATGGGAGTGAGTATCACTAGTCTATATGAAACTGCAATCATGACGTCAGAAGGAGACTGAGACTGGGAATGACAGCCATGAAGGAGATAGAAAAGATTCTTAAGTGTCAGGCTTAAGAATTGCTGGCGACCAAGATCAAGATAATTCATACCATAGTATTCCCCATTACTATGTATGGGTGTGAAAGTTGGACAATGTAGACATCTGACAGGAAGAAAGTTGATTCATTTGAAATGTGGTGGAGGAGAGTTTTAGGGATACTGTGGCCTGCCAAAAGGACAAATAAGCAAGTTCTAGATCAAATCAAGCATGAATTCTCCCTGGAAGCTAAAATGACCAAATAGAGGCTATTATACTTTGGTCACTTTAAGACAAGTCACTTTAAGACAAGTCAGTGGAATAGACAATATGCTAGGAAAAGTCAAAGGCAGTAGGAAAAGAGGAAGACCTAACATGAGATGGATGGACTCAACCAAGGAAGCCATGGCTCAGTTTGCAAGACCTGAGCAAGGCTGTTAATGATAGGATGTTTTGGAGGACATTAATTCATAGGGTCTCCATAAATCAGAAGTGACTAGATGGCACTGAACACACACAGACACACGAAACTGCTTCAAGAAATCAGCCAGGGATTAGGGGTGAGTTGCCAACATCATTCAACTCACTCTCCCCTTTCCATCAAGATCCAGAGAAGCTATGGACAAGCTTAACTAGCATCTGGAAGATATAAGGGGTTGGTTGTAGATAAACAGAATGCAATCTTCCATCTGGAAGATATAACGGGTTGGTTGTAGATAAACAGAATGCAATTAAATGCAGATAAAATGGAGGTTCTGTGGGTCAAGGATAAAGCTAATCCAGGAACACATGTTCAACTTGCATTGGACATGGGTGTACTCCCCCTAAAGAAGCAAGCTTGTAATTTGGGCATGGATGCCTCATTGATCCTGACCAAGCAAAAGAAATAGCCAGGAGTGCATTTTTCCAGCTTAGATTGGTTTTTCAGCAGCAGCGACCTTTTCTGGACAAAGGTGGCTCTGGACACAAATCACGCACACCTTGGTAACATCCAGCTTCAATCACTGTAGTGCTACACATAGGACTACCTTTGAAGATGATTCAGAAGCTTCCAATTGGTTCAGAACTCAGTGGCCAAGGTACCTACAGGGACCAGCTGCAGCAAACATGCAACTCCAACATTGTGCCATGCACAGTGCCAGAAGAACAGCTAGTGTACTGGTGTCAACCTTTAAGACCTAACTGGCTTAGGTTCATGATACCTGGTAGGCCGGCTTCACCTGTACATACATGCTCTGAGGCTGGCCAAAGAACCCTTGTTGTGGCAAGCCTCTGTTGAAGAAATCTGATCAGAAGGGACCCACAAGAGCTCACTCAGCAGCAACCTGTTTCCCCCCCCCCCCATGCCGACAGTTCCATTTTTAGAGACCTTCGGCTGGAATGCCCCCCCCCCCCCCAATGCCGACAGTTCCATCTTTAGAGACCTTCGGCTGGAAGCTTTAAAAAAAAAAAATTCTAGAGGGCTTTTTTAGTTAAACCTGTTCCCAGTGTTTAGCAGTTGCTATATATTTTCAATTATTCTGTGAGGATTTTTATACTGTAAGCTACCTTACATATTTACCTTTAAATAAAAAGCATTCTGATAAATAAAAACATTTATTCCAAGATGTAAAATTAACTGCAAATACTTTTGCAGTTCTTTTTGCTGATGTTGCTTCCAGGAGGCAGGCAAGGCCAAACTACCTCTGTTCCTCTCTTGCCTTGAAACCTTACAGGGCCACCATAAGTTGGCTGTGACTTGATACTAACTGCAAATACTTTTGCAGTTCTTTTTGCTGATGTTGCTTCCAGGAGGCAGGCAAGGCCAAACTACCTCTGTTCCTCTCTTGCCTTGAAACCTTACAGGGCCACCATAAGTTGGCTGTGACTTGATACTACTTCCCACCACCATGTCAAATTAATATACTAAGTCAGTTCTCAATCAATCTTCCAGTTCAAAACTGCTCACTGGTAAATTCAGAAGAGACCTATCTCACATAATGCATAATTAACTTATGGAATTCAACACAGCAGTAACACAGCTGCTACCTTAGATGGTTGCTTTTAAGAGACAAATTTAGAGAGGGCAAGTCTACTAACAATGATTAACCAACATAAGTAATGGACCCTCCATGGAGAGAAGCAGTGCTTCTCTAAACAGGGATAAACAACACGGAGGGCTGTATTACACAGTTGTTCTCATCCAGGAGGTCTCTTCTTATGAGTACCAGATACTAGGGAAAATATAGAGAATGTCCACCACTTTATGCCCTGCTCAGAAACTTTTCACTAGAGGAAGCTCTGGATGACCCAAGCTAGCCCGATTTTGTCAGCTCTTGGAAGCTAAGCAGCTTCTATATGGATGGGAGGCCACCAAGGAAGTCCAGGGCCACTACGCAGAGCAAGGCAATGGCAAACCACCTCTGTTCATCTCTTCCTTTGAAAACCCCATGAAGGGATCACTATAAGTCACCTGCAACTTGATGACCCTTTCCACCACCACCAGAGGAAGCTCATCTACCTGGCTATTGCTGGTTGGAACTTTCTGGTCTGATCCAGTGCAGCAAATTCTTAAACTCATGTATGAGAGGTGTGGGGTGATGGTAGTGGTTGATGGGTTCAACCAGCAATCCTGATCTAAATCCTTGCTTTAGGAGTTACTATAGTTCATTTCTCAGTTTGAGAAGCTCTGCGTACATCAACAGAAGCTCAGCCCTTCAACATCAACAGAAAGAAAGATGAAGTCTGTTGGATAGAACAGCCTTCTACAACAAGCTAAACTGCAAATTCTGTGAAACAGGAAGCTGTCACTTTCTGTTTACACTGCTCTACTAAAAAAAAAAACACACCACACATTGATGGGGCTATATAATCTTACCAGGATCTACATACAAAACCATATTACAAGAACCAGGCACCCAGCAGGCCACCAGCACACCAGTCCAATAGCTCAACCATTTCTCACCACCGAAACAGCTTACGAGCCATGCTCCCCATCTTCCCCTCCTCTCCAATATAATGGCAACCCAGACGTACAATGTGGACCAACCTGCTACTTAGAACAGTCTGCAAAGAAGGGAGAGGGAGCCATTTCCTAGAAGTATACAGAATGCAGGAGGAAGGGCTTGGACCACTGACAACAGAAAACTGGAGGAAGCTGAAAGGGTTAGGGCAGAATATGTAAAGGAAGGAAAGCGAAAGAGCTTAGACCACTGAATATGGAAAACATCAACAGGAGAGAGGGTTGACCACTGTTTAGGGAAGGGATAGGATTGAAAAAGGGAACCTTTTTGTTAGGATACACGGAAGAAGGGGAAAGGAAAGGGGCTGGACCACTATTACCAGGAAAAGGGGGGGAGATTGATGGGAGAGTAGACAGAACAGTAGAAGGAAATGGGTTGGACCACTATTATGAGTTAAATAGTAACGGGGGAGCCTTTTGTAAGGGGCACACCAGTGAAGAAGGGGTCGGATCCGTCCTGTGGGAAGGGAGAGAAAGAGTTATGGGGGGGGGAACTCCTTGAAGAGGAAGGGGGAATATTTAGGAAGCGGCACCACACCGGGCGGGGGGGTCTGAAGAACTCACCGGACTCGGAGACCTGATTCCGACGCTCGGCTCTGCTTGGCTCCCTCAGCTCCAAACACCGGCCCCAGGAACGAAGGAACAAACGATCCGAAAAGAGGGCGGACCGACAACGTCACTGCCACGTACCCTCTTCAGCGGAAGGCGTCATGCGCATGACCCCAAAAGGGAAAACGTCCACCACGCCCCCTCGACGTCCTCCGACGCTGCCTCTTAAAGGGATCGCCTCTATCATTGGCGACTGCATTGAAGGAGGCGGGACGGAAAGGCGCGCCTTTGTTGCTAGGCAACCAAAGAGGGCATGCGTTTCTGGGCCCGGCTCTTGAAGGGATGCTGTGGTCAGAGAAGGCGGGGCTCTTCCTTGTTGCTAGGCAACGGGTGCTAAGGAATGCCAAACGATTTAGGCCCTTGGATTGCAGTCCTATGAGATTTAATAGGTGTACTTTTGAATAAACAAGTATAGGACCGGGTTGAAAGAATACCAAGACCATTTAAGCAGGGCCTGTGCTTTTAAACAGCAGTATGACTGGCGTGATATAGGGTTGCCAACCTCCAGATAGGGTCTGGAGGTCCCCAGAGATCAGTTCCCTTGGAGAATATGGCTGATCTGGAGGGTGGTGTCTATAACACCATACCCAGCTGAGGTCCCTCCACAGGGTCTACCCCCAAATCGCCGGAAATGTCCTGCCCTGGGGTTGGCAACCAAATTCAGCAGCTGAAGCCCGTCTTAGCCTGCAAAAGCATGGACAAAGGGAAGGAAGCTATTTCATCTGTTGATTAAAAAATACTTGCTATGCATGCAAATATTTAAAGGCATAGGAGCCCTGGGAGGAGAAAAAGCAAGATCAGCCCTTCAAATTCAAAACTGTCATTAATTCAAAGGATCACCATACATTGGGATTGACATGACAGCACATAACTCACATGTTCTAGTCTTTCTCATTCCTCCTTTGTTTTGTTGTGTTTCCATCTCTAATAAAATTTAGACAGTTAATTACTCGAGGCAGGGATATTTTTGTTGTTTATCATAATCATTATACTTACTGGAAAACAGAAATTAACCTCCGGAGCTCCTGAGGGAGATTGTGGGGGTGGAGGGTTTCAATTTTATGTTTATTCCTTGCAGATCCTTTGCGGATCCCAGAGGGCCAGCATGGTGCAGTGCTTAAGAGCAGCTGACTCTGATCTGGAGAACTGGGTTTGATTTCCCCACTCCTCCTCCACATGAAGCCTGCTGGGTGACTTTGGGCCAGTCCTCTCAGAACTGTCTCAGCCCCACCTACCTCACAAGATGCCTGTTGTGGGGAGAAAGCAGGGAAGGAGATTGTGGACCACTTGGAGACTCCTTAAGGTAGAGAAAAGTGGGGTATAAAAACCAACTCTTCTTCATCATCATTCCTTCTAACAGTCAATTTCTGGCCCCTGTGCTACAATGGGGCCAGACACAAAAAAAGGAAAAGGTATTTTTTCCATATACTCCAAAGGGGAAGACTCCCAATGGACAGTGTGTATGTACACAGTCTTCACTCAGCCAGCTGACAGAGTGTGCTAATGAGCAAGGCCGGCTCCAGGGTTTTTTGCACACTAGGCCAGGCTACATTCTGCCCCCCACCCCCGTGCGCCCACCAATTTTCAAACGTAAATGCATTTTAGGAGAAGCTAGACACAGGCGTCGCCCAAAGTACCCCTAATTTCTAGAGGCACCTGATTTCTAGAAACATTTGAAGGGGAGACTTTTTCATGACTCTCTCTAGCCGCAAGCCCTCCAAAACGTAAGGCAATTCCAGACCATCGAGAAACCTGGAACCATTTCTTAAAAAAAAAAAAAAAAACCACCCGAAAAACAAAAAGATGCCAAACCTGCTGCTGGCAGGGGGATTGCGAGACTGTCGCCCAGTTGGGAGGGGGGGTGTCCCGTCTCCTCCCCCCTCCTCCTCTCTCCCAACTGGGCGACAGTCTCG